AGTCACCGCTACTGAGCATACTCAAGTTGTACTGTACGTCTGTAGTCACCGCTACTGAGCATACTCAAGTTTTACTGTATGTCTGTAGTCACAGCTACTGAGCATACTTAAGTTATACTGTACGTCTGTAGTCAACGCTACTGAGCATACTAAAGATGTACTGTATGTCTGTAGCCACCGCTACTGAACATACTCAAGTTGTACTGTATGTCTGTAGGCATACTAAAGTTGTACTGTATGTCTGTAGCAACCGATACTGAACATACTCAAGTTATACTGCACGTCTGAGTCATCGCTACTGAACATGCTTAAGTTGTACTGTATGTCTGTGACCACTGCTACTGAACATACTCAAGTCGTACTGTATGTCTGTAGCCACCGCTACTGAACATACTCAAGTTGTCCTGCACGTCTGTAGTCACCGCTACTGAGCATACTAAAGTTATACTGTACGTCTGTAGCCACCGCTACTGAACATACTCAAGTTGTACTGTACGTCTGTAGTCACCGCTACTGAGCATACTAAAGTTATACTGTACGTCTGTAGCCACCGCTACTGAGCATACTCAAGTTGTACTGTATGTCTGTAGCCACCGCTACTGAACATACTTAAGCTGTACTGTATGTATATAGTCACCGCTCCGGAACATACTAAAGTTATACTGTACGTCTGTAGCCACCGCTACTGAACATACTAAAGTTATACTGTATGTCTGTAGCCACCGCTACTGAACATACTCAAGTTGTCCTGCACGTCTGTAGTCACCGCTACTGAACATACTAAAGTTTTACTGTACGTCTGTAGTCACCGCTACTGAGCATACTAAAGTTATACTGTACGTCTGTAGCCACCGCTACTGAGCATACTCAAGTTGTACTGTACGTCTGTAGTCACCGCTACTGAAATAGCCACCGCTCCGGAACATACTAAAGTTATACTGTACGTCTGTAGCCAACGCTACTGAACATACTCAAGTTGTACTGTATGTCTGTAGCCAACGCTACTGAACATACTAAGGATATACTGTACGTCTGTAGTCACCGCTATTGAGCATGCTAAAGTGGTACTGTATGTCTATGGCCACCTGTAATGAACATACTTAAGCTGTGATGTATGTCTGTAGTCACCGCTACTGAACATACTAAATTTATACTGTACGTCTGTAGCCACGCTACTGAGCATGCTAAAGATGTACTATATGTCTGTAGTAACCGCTACTGAACATACTAAAGATGTACTATATGGCTGTAGTCACCGCTACTGAACATACTAAAGTTATACTGTACGTCTGTAGCCACCGCTACTGAGCATGCTAAAGATGTACTATATGTCTTTAGTCACCGCTACTGAACATACTAAAGTTGTACTATATGTCTGTAGTCACCGCTACTGAACATACTAAAGATGTACTATATGGCTGTAGTCACCGCTACTGAGCATACTAAAGATTTACTATATGTCTGTAGTCACCGCTACTGAACATGCTTAAGTTGTACTGTATGTCTGTAGTCACCGCTACTGAGCATACTAAAGTTATACTGTACGTCTGTAGTCACCGCTACTGAGCATACTAAAGATGTACTGTATGTCTGTAGCCACCGCTACTGATCATACTCAAGTTATACTGTACGTCTGTAGCCACCGCTACTGAACATACTCAAGTTGTACTGTACGTCTGTAGTCACCGCTACTGAGCATTCTAAAGTTATACTGTATGTCTGTAGTCACCGCTACTGAGCATCCTAAAGATGTACTGTATGTCTGTAGCCACCGCTACTTAACATACTCAAGTTGTACTGTACGTCTGTAGGCACCGCTACTGAGAATACTCAAGAGATGTACTGTATGTCTGTAGCCACCGCGACTGACCATACTTAAGCTGGACAGTATGTCTATAGCCACCGCTCCGGAACATACTAAAGTTATTCTGTCCGTCCGTAGACACCGATACTGAACATGCTTAAGTTGTACTATATGTATGTAGCCACCGCTACTGAACATACTAAAGATGTACAGTATGTCTATAGCTGAACACACTAAAGATGTACTATATGGCTGTAGTCACCGCTACTGAACATACTAAAGATGTACAGTATGTCTATAGCCACTCAAGTTGTACTGTATGTCTGTAGCCACTGCTACTGAACATACTCAAGTTATACTGTACGTCTGTAGCCACTGCTACTGAACTTACTCAAGTTGTACTGTATGTCTGTAGCCACCGCTACTGAACATACTCAAGTTGTACTGTATGTCTGTAGCCCCTGCTACTGAACATACTCAAGTTGTACAGTACGTCTGTAGGCACCGCTACTGAGAATACTCAAGTTGTACTGTATGTCTGTAGCTACCGCTACTGAACATACTTAAGCTGTACGGTATGTATGTAGTGAACATACTCAAGTTATACTGTATGTCTGTAGCCACTGCTACTGAGCATACTCAAGTTGTACTGTACGTCTTTAGTAACCGCTACTGAGCATACTAAAGTCATACTGTACGTCTGTAGCCAACGCTACTGAACATACTTCATGTACGTCTGTAGTCACCGCTACTGAGCATACTAAAGATGTACTGTATGTCTGTAGCCACCGCTGCTGAACATACTCAAGTTATACTGTACGTCTGTAGCCACTGCTACTGAACTTACTCAAGTTGTACTGTATGTCTGTAGCCACTGCTACTGAACATACTCAAGTTGTACTGTACGTCTGTAGTCACCGCTACTGAGCATGCTAAAGATGTACTGTACGTCTGTAGTCACCGCTACTGAACATACATAAGCTGTACTGTATGTCTGTAGCCACCGCTACTGAACATACTAAAGCTGTACTGTATGTCTGTAGTCACTGCTACTGAACATACTAAGGTTATACTGTACGTCTGTAGTTACCGCTACTGAGCATGCTAAAGATGTACTGTATGTCTGTAGCCACTGCTACTGAACATACTAAGGTTGTACTGAAAGTCTGTAGTCACCGCTACTGCGCATGCTAAAGATGTACTGTATGTCTGTAGCCACCGCTACTGAACATACTCAAGGTGTACTGTATGTCTGTAGACACCGCTACTGAACATCCTAAAGTTGTACTATATGTCTGTAGCCAACGATACTGAAGATACTAAAGTTGTAATGTACGGTACTGAGCATGCTAAAGATGTACTATATGTCTGTAGTAACCGCTACTGAACATACTAAGGTTGTACTGAAAGTCTGTAGTCACAGCTACTGCGCATGCTAAAGATGTAATGTATGTCTGTAGCCACCGCTATCGAACATACTTAAGATGTACGGTATGTCTGTCGCAACCGCTACTGAACATACTTAAGCTGTTCTGTATGTCTATGACCACCTCTAATGAACATACTCAAGTTGTACTATATGTCAGTAGCCACCGCTACTGAACATGCTAAAGCTGTACTGTATGTCTGTAGCAGCCGCTACTGAACATACTCAAGGTGTACTGTATGTCTGTAGACACCGCTACTGAACATACTAAAGTTGTACTATATGTCTGTAGCCAACGATACTGAACATACTAAAGTTGTAATGTACGTCTGTAGCCAACGCTACTGAACATACTCAAGTTGTACTGTATGTCTGTAGCCACCGCTGCTGAACATACTCAAGTTATACTGTACGTCTGTAGCCACCGCTACTGAACATACTAAAGTTATACTGTATGTCTGTAGCCACCGCTATCGAACATACTTAAGATGTACGGTATGTCTGTCGCAACCGCTACTGAACATACTAAGATTATACTGTACGTCTGTAGCTACCTCTACTGAACATACTTCAGCTGTACGGTATGTATGTAGCCACCGCTACTGAACATACTAAAGTTATACTGTACGTCTGTAGTCACCGCTACTGAACATACTAAAGTTATACTGTATGTCTGTAGTCACCGCTACTGAACATACTAAAGATGTACAGTATGTCTATAGCCACCGCTCCGGAACATACTAAAGTTATACTGTACGTCCGTAGACACCGATACTGAACATGCTTAAGTTGTACTATATGTCTGTAGCCAACGCTACTGAACATTCTAAAGTTGTACTGTATGTCTCTAGCCACCGCTACTGAACATACTGAAGTTGTACTGTACGTCTGTAGCCACCGATACTGAACATGCTTAAGTTGTACTATATGTCTGTAGCCAACGCTACTGAACATACTTCAGCTGTACGGTATGTATGTAGCCACCGCTACTGAACATACTAAAGATGTATTGTATGTCTGTAGCCACCGCTATCGAACAAACTTAAGCTGTACGGTATGTCTGTCGCAACCGCTACCGAACATACTAAAGCTGTACTGTATGTTTGTAGCCACCGCTATCGAACATACTTAAGCTGTACGGTATGTCTGTCGCAACCGCTACTGAACATACTAAGATTACACTGTACGTCTGTAGCTACCGCTACTGAACATACTTAAGCTGTACGGTATGTATGTAGCCACCGCTACTGAACATACTAAAGTTGTACTGTATGTCTGTAGCCACCGCTATTGAGCATGCTGAAGTTCTGTATGTCTATGGCCACCTCTACTGAACATACTTAAGATGTACTATATGTCTATGGCCACCTCTACTGAACATACTAAAGCTGTACTGTATGTCTGTAAGCAACGCTTCTATACATACTAACACTGTTGGACACAGCTGTACCTACATAGTTGGTTAATTTATAGAGCAAATAAAGAATGGATATGAAATTATATTTCACCTAAATGAAATAGATGTGGTTCCTGTATTGCTCCCTTGGAAGTTCCCGAACCGCGAAAACTTTCAGAAAATGAAACTGCAAAAAAATCAACTTGTACAGTATAAAGTTACTGAAACAAAAAACAAACTTTTAAATTTCAGTAGGAACAGTATTAGGACTAAACCAGATTCAACATACTTGGAAACAGCGAAAAGTTCTACCATGTGAAGTACCAAAGACAGGTGGAATGGAATTCACGGCGAATACGTCAATACAATGTCTGTCAAAGGTACAGATGCTAAATGGATCCGTGGCTTCGTATAACGAGACTTCAGGAGTTTGCTCTAAGCATGACGTATCAACATATACCAATTCAGGAGGTGTGTATAAATTAGAAGAGGATACAGCCGGAAGCTCAACTGGTAAATATTAATTATGTTTCACGATCATAAATGCTGAAAGTAGAGGAGTTATAGATCAATTTGTTGGCTGATAACGCTGTCTGAATGTAACATCTAATGTCATACGTAAATTTCGAAATTCACTGACATTTCTACAAGAACAAATTCTTTCAATTTTGGAAGTGATAATCTTTTCTTGTATATATTTTAATTTTGATTTTTAATAGCTAAAGGGTTACCGCTTAAAGTTGTACAATATCTAGCATTCGATTTCTTGATAAAAATATGCGTGTATGGAAAACAGAATACAGTTAATGAAGAAAAAAAGGTCTTGAGGAATGTAGCAACATTCTAGTTTTTCCCAATACCCAGGTGTTTTTTCCAAACGAAAGCAGATTAAAACCCTTTGGTACCAATACAAACACCCCAGCCATTTAAAAAAGGGAAATATGGGGGGTGGGG